GGGGGCAGAGCTGAGCTGTGTGGGCCTGTTGTTGTTCCGCGGAGCCGAGGTTCGCTTCGCACCCTCGCCGGTTGCTCCCAGCCACCAGATCCGGTCATGAGTACCTGCAGGACTGGCGGCTGAGGCCTGGAGCAAGTTCCTCCGATGACTGGGCTCTGATTCCTGGCCTGTGAAAAGGCGAGGGCAGCTCGGGTCTCCCAAGGTAGTTGGAGTGTGAGTGGACAGAATGAAAGTGAAGAAGGCTTCTTCACCATCCCCTTCGCTAACAGTCACTTTGTACTTACTAGGAAAAGCTGTACCTGTAGCTGTAAGTGCAAAGCTTGGACCTACTCCACACATTCTATAAAATAGATAACATTCTCCCCATCTTCCTGCTGAGCTCTCCCAAGAGCTTATGCGGGACAGGCCTTTGTTAACACAACCAGCAAGTGGTAGAACTGGGACATAAACCTGGGTGGGGTCTGAGTATTTTTGGAGCCTTTCTCACTCCGGAGCCTGTGCCTTTATTCACCATGCAATTACTGCCTAATTATTCAGTCACTTAAAAATTATTGGCAACCTACTCTACTAGGTCATGTGCCAGATGTAAGAAATATAGTAAACAAGTTACAAATCCTACACAAGTGAAGCTTATATGCTAATTGAAAAGCAGTGATCAATTATTTACAAGAATAATTATATCGGCCAGGTGTGGTGGCGGAGGACTGTAATCCCAGTACTCCGCGGGGCTAGACAGGAGGATCGCTGTGAGTTCCAGGCCAGACTGGGTTGCATAGTAAGTTCAAGGCCAGGCCAGGATGATACATAGCGAGACTTTGTGTCACACACACACAAATATATATATAAAATATATTATATATATTATTATATATTATATATATATGGGGGGGTGCTGTGCGCAGCTTAGTGGTAGAGTGCTTGCCTGAAGTCCTGAAGTGTACACGAAGCCCTGGATTTGATCCCCAGAGCCACTGAAAAATAAAAAAGTAATTTAAAAAGAATTCCTCAGTATTGCAAAATAAAATGGAAAAAAATTATTTGAGCTGGGATGTAGCTCAGTGGTAGAGTGCTTGCCTAGAAAGCCCACAAGACCCTAGGTTTCATACCCAGCACTACCAAAAAAAAAAAAATTATTGGGCCGAGTATGTAGTTCAGTGGCACTGCACCTGCCTCACAAGCACAAGGTCCTGAGTTCAATCCCAGGTACCAAAATAATTTTTTGTTTTTATTTTTTGTTATTATTCAATGAAAATTGTGATGTTAACTTGGAGGAGACGTATAGAGAACTACAAGGGCGGTGTTTTCTAAGCAGCACATGCTCATTGTGTGCCAGGTTTGATGCTAAACTATTTATGATTAGACTCACTTAAGATCTAGATGAGGGCTTAGCATGTAAAAGGCCCTGGGTTCAATCCCTAGCACATACAGAAAATCTGGATCAGACTTTTTGGATGTGGTATTTATGACCTAGGATTCTAGCAGTCGAAAGTAGCAGAAACAGCACGAGCTAACCAAAGTGAAGATTTCCAAACTTCATCTCTTTTTTTTGTTTTGTTTTGTTGTTGTTGTTTTTTTGGTACCGGGGATGGAACTCGGGTCCTTGAGCTTTCGAAGCAGGCAGCGAAACCACTGAGCTAAATCCCAGGCCCCTTGGCTTCATCTCTTTATCATCCCTCAATCCTTTTTTCCATTCAGCCAAGCAAGATGGCTACAAGCAGCTCTAGGCTTTCATTGTCCACATTATAGCTTGGTCCCAGGAGAGGGCATAAATTTCCAGTGGATCCAGAATATCAAAATGCAATCCTAGGGGCCATTCTCCTGACTTCTTTACAGTTTTTGTTTGTTTGTTCGAGACAGGGTCTCACTATGTAGTCCAGGCTGGCCTTTGAACTCGTTATGTAGCCCAGCTCGAACTCACAGCAATGCCCCTGCCCCAGCTTCCCCAATGCTGGGATCACAGGTGTGAGCCATCACACCTGGTGTGACTTCCTTACAGTTGTCTTACACTTTTCCAAAGCTGAGCCCTGTATAGGCAAGGCTTAGGACACTAGGACTTGAGGCTGCATGTGTTGCACTGAATTTGGGGGAGTGTGCAGTGACACACATTTACAATCCCAGGTACTCAGGAGGCTGAGGAGAGGATCACAAGTACAAGGCCAGCCTGGGGGGGATGTAGCTCAGGGGTAGAGAGACTCTAGGTTAGATCAGATCGCTAGTTAGTACCACAATAAATAATAAATAAATATTAAATTTGGAGGAATGGGAGTACACATCACCATGGCAGGCAAGGGTTGCAGGCAGATCATGGAGCGGAAACAAGGCAGAAGGAGATGGTGACTGATTCTTAGGGCCAAGCTCTGTGCCAGAAGGACAGACCTCTTCCCTGTTACCATCCCAAGAAGGCAGGCTGGTGCTGCAGAGGGAGGGGGGTTGCTGCTGTGGGAAAGTCTGAGCAGACCCCAGAGAGGTCCTGGGCCAGGGAGACCTCAAAGAAGTCTCAGGAAGTCTTACCCTCGCCCCCTCTGGCCCCAAGGGACACACTATTAGGGCTGTCTTACAGGGGGGAATATTGAGGCTCAGAACAAAGGCTAACTTGCCTAAATCGAGCCACTAAACAGACAAAACTCAGCTCCCTCAACAAAGCCAAAACAAACAAGCACCTCAGCTTCCTGGCCCAGAGCTCTGTGCCACCCCTACTCTTCTGATCAAGTTTTCCCCAACCTACCATCCTCACCTTGGGAACCTGAAGCCTCCCTATCCCCATCTATGGTGATTCAGGAGCTTTTATCTTACAGGATGGGATGAGGGGCCAGGGAAGGGTAGGGATTTGGAGGTTCCCAGACTGGAGGGGGTGGTCTCCCAGGCTAGATGTCTGGAGACAGCAGATAGTCAGTACCAGCCAGCAAGTGTTGCTGTGACAGCCTGATATAAAAATGAGATTTTAGGGGCCAGGGATTTAGCTCAGTGGTTCCACCACCAGCCTCTCAAGCACAAAGTCCCGAGTTCGATCCCCAGTACCAAAAAAAAACAAAATGAGATTTTAGGCCAGGCATGGTGGTGGATAACTGTAATCCCAGCACTTGGGAGGCTGAGGCAGGAAAATCATGAGACGTTCAAGGTGAGCCTGGGCTACATAGTAAGTTTAAGGCCAACCTGAACTACAAAGAAAAAAAAAAAAAAAGCTGGGGATGCAACTCAGTGCTAGAGCCTTTGCTTATCCAGCATTGCCAGGGCCTGGATATGATTCCCAAGAGCTGGACCCTGGCTGGAAGTGGTAAGGAGGCTGAGCAATACTGCTTCTGATAAATGCCCAGTCAGGCACTCAACAAACAGGAGTCATCGTCACAGAAACTTTACCACCTGTGTCAATTTTTACTGTGTCTCAGTTTCCTTATCTATAAAATGGGAATCACAACAGCTGTTTCACAGTCACTGTGAAGATTAGGAGAGTTAGTGTCAGTCTGGAACATTGTAAGCATTTAAAACCAAGTGTGGGGCCAGGGATTTAGCTCAGTGGTGCTGCCGCCTGCCTCGAAAGTGCAAGGTCCTGAGTTTGATAGCTGGTACCAAAAAACAAAACAAAAAAGTAAGTGTGTGTGTGGTACTGGAGATGGAACCCAGGGTCACATTGGGTTATGTTTTTATTTTATTTATAGTTTATTTTTTTCAGGCCTCCCTCATGTTGACACAGGGTCTCTCTCCTTTTTTTTTTTTTTGGTACCGGGGATTGAACTCGAGTTCTTGTGGTTTCGAGGCAGGTGGTGGAACCTCTGACCTAAATCCCTGGCCCTGACACAGTCTCTTTTAATTGCTAAATGGCCCGGGTTGGGCTTGAATTTTTAATCCTGCTTCAGGTTCTCAGAGTGCTGGGATTATAGGTGTGCACCACCATGCCTGGCTCCCAGCCCTGTTTTTTTTTTCCATTTAAATTCTTTTATTCGTACATTTTAGGTATACAATATGTTTACATT